AGGGGCATAGTTAATTGCTTATATTTGTCTTTGTAATCGTATGTAACAAGAGAAAGGTAATTCCCACGACTTGAGAGTAAATGCTAAGAATTAATTACACAGATAAATCTTTGATTTGAAAATGTTGTATTATTGAAAGCTCAAGCACTTGACACGCCGTCTTCTTGCATGTAAGCCTACGAGTACGTATGTTTTCTGATGCTTCCCTTTTGGATCATGACCCAAGGGTTCAACAACATTGAAATTCCTGTTTCATTCCGATCATTTTTATGAACTAATATTTTTATTTTGCTCAAAAGAAAGGAAATTCATTGAGTTAAATTTTGATATAAAGTTGTTATTGTCCTTTGGTATTCTAGTTCTAATAGTCTCTTGGGTTTTCTTTTAGGGCTTCACTAAACTAACATTTTGCTGCCATTTGACGCGCTTTCAGGATGTTGTTTACTGAAGCATATGTAGGGTTTACGAGAAAACTAGTCAGATATTATTTCGGAAATTGCAAATGGATTGGATTTGACGTTTTATGGTATCCGAGATAATTCTGCATATGATTGTACGTACCAACAATTACATTTGTTATAACATTATTCAGTTCTGATCATATTTTACACGTTGCACTTGATCACATTTTTCTTTTCGTAATGTAATGCTTCTTATCTGGAAATTAGAGTCTATCGAAGTTCTATATTAAATCTCCATAATTGTTATTTTATTGACTCAAATGTTCTCCAACGAAGTATATATTTTTCTATTAATCAAATTGAAATGATTCAATTAACGTTTATTTAGTTATGATCAAAGTATTTTTCGTTTTCATTACACCAATTCACCGAGCCTCAAAAACACTTGAATGAATTGGATTTATATTAAATAGCAGCGAAATATACGAATAATTTGGCCAATAATATTTTCAATTTCTAAGGCTGGAAAAACGATTATATTCTTATTGGGGCGGAATGCGAAATTGATATAGCTCATTACTATAATTCATTTCAAATGGAGATTAAACCCAACGGTAGGAAAATATTAATCAAATTTGAAATAATATATCCATAGCTGGAGAACACATTTTCTCCATTTGCTTACTTAGAGCTGTCATTAGGGTGTGATCACATAACTGTTACGTGTCAACCGACCCAAATCATCCTCAGTGCGGCTTGAAACCACCACGTGCGTGTGTCAAGTCACCCCCTTGAGGCTTCCGAGCATCCGCAAGAACGCTCTCCAGCTCTACTGGAAATCACATCAATTTAGAGCCAAATTAGCAGATGATGTAATACTTACTAATGAATCTCAAGAAATTTGAATTACATGACAGTTGTAAGATAAAACTCATTATGTTAAATGCCTCAGGAAATTATTATGATATTCGAGTGGATATTTTGGCATTCGGACGCGTGGCACTAATTTTGAAATGACGTCATGGTATCTTAACACTGGAATATTAAAATCAACTATGATAAATGCAATTTATCCTTAAAATGTGAATAAAAATATCAGTGTGCTCTAATCACTGAACACATGTGTTATAAGGTCATATCAATAAAGCGTGGAGTAAGCTTATATATATCCTATAAATCCAGATCGAATAATATAAGACCATAAAATACTTCAGAATTTTAGAGTTTTATGGTAGAGATAAGTCTGAAGTGCACTTGGATGGAAAGAAAATATTCGCGTAAACTTGAGTAAATACCCTCTAAATTGTAAGGTAAATAACTCCATTGTGTTCTAAATATTTTCGAGATATGACAAAATGTTAGCTTTGTTTATTGCTTATGTCGTAAACTGCATGAAGTATATATATCCAGCGACTGGATGAATTCCCATTGCATTTCTTAGTGCATGCTTTCGGTCGACCTTGACCTTTACCCATCCTACTTTATGCTTTTATGCTTCAAAAGCCGATAAAATGGAATCATGTTTTTCATTGGATATCATTTGAAAAAATTACACCGTGGTGTGGTCATTTGAGGTTAGTGTTATTTTAAAAAGTAGTTACAAGAGACACAATCGTAAAGAACGCATCCTTCTTTAATGTGTAAGTTAATACATTCTTATTTAATGTATTATTCGTCACGACCATAACGACAATGTGGCACATTTTAATTTTCGAATGGTAATACATCCACATTTTCAATTAATAACGCTTCTTAAAAAGAGCTTCAGATTTTTGGTCACATTATAGACTTTCCAAGTGACCTATTTCAGGTGCTTTTCAGGCTTTAGTTTGGTGCGATAAAATTCATCTGCTGTTTGCTTAATAATGATATTAATAATTATTGTTCGTCATTTAAGATTCATATGTGATAAGGGTACGTATAATTATTACCAAATGTAAGTTATATATATGTTCTGTTTCATATACTTGTATATAATATTTAACAGTATATTAACAAATCAGTTGGTCATTTTAATGGGCCAATATGATTACATACCGCGATGCTCATTTATAAATTACCCCTAGTTTAATCCAATAATAAATACACCTGAAATATTATATACCATATAATATTCATTGTAATTATTATCAAGGTATTATTATTATTTGTACAAAGATATAATGAGAAATTAAAGCCAAAGTTATGAGAATATTTTAGACCGATGATGACATTTCGAAAGCACAAGAAAGCATTTTTGATTCGTTTGAATGAGGTTAATACTAATTGCCGAAATCGTTTTATGTTATTCAAATGAGCATGTTTAAAATTATGGATAATTCAGTTTCTGTGTACAAAATATAACATGACCCTAGCCACCGTATATATTTCCAGTTTGACTCGCTATGCTTAATAGACGGAATATGCATGATTATTAAACTCGTTTTTATTACCAAAGATTTCTTGTTGTACTTTTCTGAATCCTTCGCCAGTATATGGAGAAAATAAAGTCATTCAAATTATCAAAAGTATGTATTTGTAAAAATCTCAATTCCTGACTAAACAGGACAGCAAAGCTGATTTGTAATGTCAAAATAACATCATTTTTTTAAACTTGAGATATAAATTACCCTCATTTTGCAGTAAAATGATCAAAGTTTCAATAAAATAGTGAATATATATAAATATTTGTGGTTAACGAAGCAGATGCACTGTTTCGGTCAATTGAGCAGGTATCTGTGTTAAGTACCTATTGTTAGATGTAATAGATCGAGTGAACTAGTAATCGAGTGAACTAGTAGTTGATGAAACACTAAATATAAAGGGTGATTAAACTATATAAATTCAATATATTTTTTGAGCCTTCCTTCAGAAAAAATTTAAGCTGTAAACTACACCCCTCCAATAATGCGCTGCACTACAAGCCCAAAATGCAGTAGACCCAAGTCGAAACAAGAAATATGAATTAATAATATCAGATTATACATTTAATCACTTAACAATCTTTAATATTTATGGTTTTATATAACTCAATTCCAAATATGTGATCAAAACAAAAAGGATAAAAGAAAAATAAATATGAGAGTATCATAGCCACCACCCGCTATGGTTTAGGGCGATAATAAAAACAGGTCAAAATGATTTCATCAAAACATTATTAGTCAGATCTAGCGGTTTACTAGCAAGTCCGATTTTGGTGAAGAAATCGTACGAAAAGAATTACACACGGGCATTTTGTAAAACCCCTCGAGTTATGAGGGTATAATACGCATAAAACCCCGAGAGTTGCGAGCGATTAATCACACTTTGAATTCAAAGTTTCAAATCAGCAGGAAAATACCATAATATTATGTTGCTAATTTCAAACGTGCTTTAAACGTTATAATTGATTCGTATTAACGATGCTTTTATGGAGTTCTTAACAGTTGCAATTATTTTCGATTATAAATATCACAAATTTCATAATTGCTGTGCAGAGAGGCCAAAGATCCAAGTTAGAATTTCGGGAACAGTCCAACTCGGGCAGAGAGAAAGCAGATCTAACTAATTTAAAGTATTGCGAGCAAATATCCGTGTAAAGATGTAAGGATGCGATAAATTGATGTCTTCTTCAGAACCCGGGGGATAAAACTGATGAATATATAAGAGAACAATCTATTAATTTGGACATAAAACACGTTATTATCTCAAAGTAGTTGAAAGCTAGCATATTCGCCGCTCTTTAGTGTCGGTTTTACGCTAATGAGCAATCCCAAGACACGTGTAATGTATACCTCCAATATAATATCTCAATTAAATAATAACACGTTATCAAATTAATAAGGTGGCGATTTGTAAGATGTCATGACTATAAATCTTAATAATGGACTGCATATGATGAAAACTGCAAAACGATATACACAATCTCTCGGTTCTGCATGGGGCGATCTACATTCGGGAAAGAAAATTAAACAAGAAAATATTTAATTGCCGTTATTTAAATAACTTAAACGTATAATTAAAAGTTTTACCTTTAATTGCAATTTAATCGAGTAAGTTTCAGGTGTGTTCAACAAATTTGCTTTGATGTTTAAGATAAGTTAATCTTGGCGGAGAAACAATGGTAATAACAACATCAACGATAATCCAACAGATATCTCAAACATTCTTAAGTTTATGTCAGTATAACAAAGTTAAAAAACTCATATTTTGGAGCATATCTACAGTCACGAACAAGTATGTAACTTTGATAGTGTAAGTCAAGATCATACACGGTTATAAATACCGATTGAATATGTGCGTTGAGTGTTGAGTACGTCAAAATCTCATTTCATAATTTTTGATATTTAAAGATGATATATGTTTTAACTTTGAAGATTGCAACGAGGCTCTTTAATGAGAAGTACTTGTGGGGAATGTATCAAAACTAATAAAAGTGTTGAGAAAAGAGGCTGGAATTATCTGCTGAGTTTTTTAAGTTACACACTACAAAGTAATAAACTGACAAAAATATAATATTTATGTTTTGAACACCATATATTCATTTTGTATTTTACTTAAAATTCACAAAAAGACAATTGTGTTATCATAATATTAATCACAGATATACATTAATATTAAACAGTTAATTAATTACAAATGGCAAGACGAGTGGAGAATGATCACCAAATAATTATCTAAATTATAATACCAAGTTATTTCAATTATCCTTTATTTTTAAAGTATGTTGTTCGTTTCTGCGGACAAATATATCCGTCAATAATATGAGATATTTACACTTTATATGTTGAAAAAATTGCACAACTTTGTGGACGATATATACAATACATTATGTACAATATGGAAAAAGTTATGTTTAATTTACAATACTTTCTCCTATAGACTAATTGCAAGAAAATATAATAAATATTATGTTAAAATGAGCACTAGTTCTCTCTACGTTCATTTGGCAAGAATGTGCTCTGCTTTTATGTTTAATTTAAACGATACGTGTATTGAAAATCAAGTTATTATAAAATCTAATAAAAAGAAAAAAATCCCCTATCACGAAATGATATTTTACAATAAACAATCCAAGAGGCGAGATAGTTTCCGTCAGAAAAATAAGCAACCACCTCTTGATTCTATCAATCTCTTTTATACAATTTCTATGGATATGAATCTAAATGTTGTTTTTTTCAAAATAGTTTAATAGAATTGAACTGATTCAGAAGAGAAGGAGTTTCAATCTGATACCACATATGTCGGCCATTCATTGAAAGTGAATAAAACTCTCTATAGAATAGTTTTAGTCCCACTGGCTATATTATTACCGAACAAAAAGACAATTTTCTGGGTGTAAACACGAATTTAAAGGTACTAATTTGTTGTAATTTGTTTCATATCAATGTAGAACTTGTGAACATATTGCGCTGAGATATTCTGTTGAAATGATCAAAGAAGAAAACAATGAGATGAAATGATCACCCAAGTGAGAAAGGATTCAGCGATGCCAGGGTAACTGTACATACTGTCTATATTTTTCCAAGTCTATACCGGACATCCCATGAAGGCCAGCAGCGGCCAGATGAAGGGGATTGGTGAATGAATTACCGTTAGATCTTAGAGTGTCCATTGAAATAGCAGGTCTCATCCCAAGAGACACTGGTAGTGACATTGCAGGTTGGGCGGGTTGTAATAATAAATGTCCCTGTGATGAACTGGGCGGTCTGAAGGAATGCGATGTGACTGCGGCGGGGGAGTCTGGGGACTTCCTGTCTGAGTTTGGCGATGACGATGAGGATGACGTCCCGATTATATTGTCTATACTAAAGCCTGGTTTCTGGCTACTGTTGCTAGAGGTTGGGCTTCTGGATGATACGATTGTCGTACTGACCGTCAATGGTTTATGGGGGCGAATCGCTTCTTTGGGGACACTTGGCAATTGGTGCTGGGGAATTGTTAGTCCCAGTGGATTAGTTACGTGCGCCCTTCCAAGCTCAGAGTGTTGGGGCAGATGTTGTTCACTGGATAATGTTTTATTACAAGGTGCAATGTCTCTCTGTAGGCTACGTTGCAATGTTTGTATGTGTTGAGGGGAGATTGCAAGCCCCATTGGGTTAACTGCATGCGCTCTGGCTAGATCTGGGTGTGGAATGAGCGAAAGGCCTCCCTGTCCGTGCATGGGGGCCATGTAAGGATATGGCAGAGCGTGGGTCGGGTGTCCTGGATGATGATGATGTGCGGCTGCTGCAGCTTGGTGGTGAGCTGCAAGAAGTGCAGGGTGGTGCCCGTACAGTTCATTAGCGGACATAAAAGCTTGCTGCTGGGCAAACGCATAATCGGGCATTTGTCTTTTAAATCGTTTTCTACGTCTCAAGAAGCTGCCATTGTCGAACATATCTTCGCTAGCTGGGTCGAGAGTCCAGTAGTTACCTTTGCCAGGGTTGCCCGGCTCTCGGGGAATCTTTATGAAACAGTCATTTAGAGAGAGATTGTGACGAATACTATTTTGCCAGGCAGGAAACTTGTCTTTGTAGTACGGAAATCTGTTGATAATAAACTCACAAATCCCACTCAATGTCAATTTCTTTTGTGGCGATTGCAAAATCCCCATTGTTATTAAAGCTATATAGGAATAAGGAGGTTTTACGAGACTGGTTTTCTTCTTTTTGCCATCAGCGTCAAGTGTTGTCTCACCTTCTGCGGGTTCATCGTCAATGTTTCGTTCCATTTCCTTACGGATCATCTCGATTTCGCTTGGCTTGAGACCCTTCATTTTCCCACCCGATCTCGGCTTGGGTTCCGTCTCGTATTGTTCAGATCCTTCGGAGTTATCGCTCATATTATCACAATGTGCTAGATCCTCAGAATGCTCCATATCTTCAGATTTTATGGAAAGATTTAAGTCCTGATTTTGATTCACAATATTCTGCTCTCTTGGTGTCAATACGATCATTTCTCTGTATCGAGTGTCAATGTCGAAACGCATTTTAAAGTCATTCAATGATCTGGATCAGATCATCTCACTCGTAGAGGGTGATGTCCTCAGCTGAAGCCAAAAATGTCTAATTTCGTTAATAAATCCTTATGATTTCACCAATGCTTGATCTTATCGCTAGTGTTAACAAATATTTATTTGCTCCAATACGGAAGCGACTTTTTTGAAGCTAACTTTCAGTTATAATTGCGTGACGTTCGTTTTTCTTGTTAGTTGCGTCGTCTATTGAGATGTCAACTGCTCGCAGGTTTTCTCAAAACTGAGGGTCAGCCACCCACTTCGTTCTAAATAAGCAAGAAGGTCTAAATCAGAAGTTGTTTCAATGACCATAGACGTTGTAAAGAGCTTCAACACGAGCTGTCAATAAACACTAATCAAAGTCTATCACGTGGTAGGCTCACTGTCGATATCGGTACGGAACGCCAATGGAAGCCACTTGGCTGCTCCGCCTTCTGTTAATTATTGGTTTTCTCAGCCAATCGCTACAAACGCTAGCGATTATTCAGAAACAAGTCTCTAACCTATTTGTAGGCACTTGCTACACGATCGGCTCGCGCGGATTTGTTTCCAAAAGACGGATTATGATTATTGTCACTATTATCCCACCAATGGGTCGCATTTAGAGCAATTCTCTGTTGGTAAATAAGCGTACCAGGGGACGGAATCCAATAGAAACACCCAGGCACCTTATAGAGATTATGGGTGTTTTACCCTTTATTTCTAAATGAAATTATCTGAGACAAATGGGAGCATGTGTAACTTGTAAATGCAAAAGTATATTGTTTATTTTTCTTTGAAATACCGACTGTTAACCATTCAACATACCCTAGCTTATGATATAATGTTTAAATTGATTCATTCTCCATCTATATGATTTTCTTGTGGTATAAAATAAAGATTTCAATTTTAAAAAGATTACACCCACTGATATAGGAGATTGTAAAGAAACAATAAACAGGGCTGCAAAATCGTCCAGGTACGGAAAATCTGAAAGGGAGATATTAAGAATTCCAACAAACGGCAATTTACTTGAAGCAGCAATGTCTTCTAAACACCGGCCTCCAAATTGATAAACAGTTCTTCACTAAAAATAAACTTCCGAATAAACAGAGAAAATATTTTGCCAATAAGATACTGGTAATATGTCGTCTTTCAAACAATTTGGCAGGAATGAAGCTGATAATGACTTTTGAGAAGGCAATACTCTTCATCTAAACATGAAGAAGAAACACAGAGTAGAATACACAGAACATTTAAGAAATTCCCATATGGAGGCCAGATGCAATGTAACCCATTACTCTCATTACTTAGCTGTGATGATACTCCGAAAACATACACAATTTTTCATGTATGTCATCGGTTTTAGGAAGAGAATTTAACCCTGTTGACCTTAATTTGAAAAAGTTAATTTGTTGGTTTATTTCTCACAAGGACAATGTTTAGATACTTCTATAATATTTGGATATGAAGTTGGTACTAAATATCAATTGTTGAAACACACTTGTCTAAAGTATCAAATGAAACCTTATCCTGGGTAAATTTGATGAATAATTTAAGTTAGTATATTATTATTAGAATTAAACGCCATTAACCATAGCGCACTTTTATTCGCACAATACAGGGTAACTTTTTGATGGAAACACTAAATAAAACATCATGTCAAAAACCTGCTGAAGAGTTAATCTGCAATTTGCCAAGTCTCAAAAGCATACTTAGAAAGTTGCTCGAAAATGCAGGCAAGATGAAAATGTCAGTAGCAAAAGAAAACAGAAATTAGCACAATCAAATGTAACCTAGCACCATACTAACAAAAATATATTTTCGTTGAAAAAGTAAATGTTATCTGTTTGCGTTGGGCTAATTATGAACCATATGAACATCAAAACGGGTCGAAGTCATACTCAACCCTTGGTTTATTTATTTAATATCAGTTTCCTCTGTATTTCTGCTATGCTCACGTCCCAAACTACATCATTCCAAATACACAGGATCTATCCAAAAACTTATTAAGTAAACTGATATGAAACAAAACAACTGTTTGTAACCTGCGAGATTGAATGCTGTTTTTATACTCAATGTGGGGCCTAAGTTTTCCATGTATTAAACTATCAAATTTTCTCTCGACAAAACACTAGCTTTCTTCATTTCATAATTTATTTCAAGTATTTGCACCTCTTGGGATTATTACACAGCGCTGTTGTATCTGACAAATATTTAGTTTATGAATTCCAACTGGTGAACAGTTTTGGTAAAAATTCTATGACTTCATCCCGGGGACTTCATCTTGGTGAATTATCTGCCGATAAATAACACAAGAAATGTCTACAATGTTTACACAGATGATCGGTATAATTAAAACCATTAAACATTTGATGGTGTTGACTCTATGCGTCACCAAGTTAGTTGACCGAGGCCCACCATAAGTTGTTGACCAGAACTTGAAACTCTAGTTGATTAGAACGGAAGGCATTAAGCAGTGGAATTCCCTGAAACTTGAAACTGGATCCCCCAGGTCATCAGGTTCACTCCTTGGTGCCAAGCAGTCTGCTATCTTTCACAGTGAACTAAGGAACTAGAGCACATTCTTGGCGGGAGAAATTCACATTAGCGTTATCCAAGTGGGTGATTTATCATTGAGGGTTTTCTATAAATTATAGAGAGATTATGCAAACTCTGGTTAACACCTTCAGTTGCTGAGTTCCCAATTTTGAAAGCTGTTTTACAGATTTACTCATGTTATAGAGAGAGCCCAGTGGAATAGAAGTTCGGGATAACTTTTTACAAAGCTTCCTTTTCTCAGTGAGCCCTTCTTTTAAGTGCTCTAAATAAATGTTTTTATTTAACTGTTGTGTCCATCAAACGCAATTTGCAATGTTGGTCCAAATGTTCGAGTGTGGTTTATGATGCTGTGAAGTTGTTTTTTTACAGGCACAACATTGCAATCTATGTTTGGATGATCTATGACAACAGGCTGTGGAAAGCTGCTATGACAGAATAGAGCCTTTGGTGCCACGCAGTCTGCTAACATAGAAGGTGATTCATCATTCTCAGAGATAAGCTCCCATTCTCAAATAACCAAGAAGAGGAAACAGTAAACAACAAAATAAGAACAAAACTAAGTGTGGTAGCAAATATTTATTATAGCCTTAACCTTTACAAAGCCATTCCATTTCCCTGAATTCTTCCTGACACAGTGTGATATATCATGTTCCAGAAGATCGTGCACACACCCACCTAACAATAATGCACCAGTATGTACAAGAAAGATAAACAAAACAAAATCCATACTGGTGCATTATTGGTGGCTGGGTGTGTGCATGATCTTCTGGGACGTGATGTATCGTGTTACAATATTTAGTAACAAGGCAAACATGCAAAATGTCACCACCTGCCATTTGTTACAGAGGCCAATTCCAACACCAACTGCCAAACACCAACCACCAAACAATGTCCACTAAAATGTGGTGGTGACATAAAAATGAAGAATTTAATGAGCAATTGTATCAAATTGACAAATTCACACTGAGAAATCAACAAGAGCCCCTTTGCCAATAGAGGAGTTTCTAAATAGCTTTGAAATCTTGCTAATTCTAGTTTTTCATGGGATTTTAAGAGATTTGCACTTTTTATCTCTAGTGACTTACTTTCCTTTATTTTTGATAGCATATTTGAATTTGGGCCAAATCTCCATTGGGGCAATACTAAAATTCATTAAAAGCTTGGCTTATTCGTATGACAACAAACATTTTCATGTTTCATCACAATATGAACATTGACAGGGTCATCCAATAGTATGCCATTCAAATTTCAGACAGATTCAACCAACACTTTTTAATAAATCTTGAAATTATTGACTTATGCAAGTTTCTAGCATTGAGGTGAATGGAGATCTGCCCCAAGAAAATCAAAGACAAACAAGGGTGACATCTATTATGTCAGCATTATTCAGCTATTTAGAAACTATACAATTGACACTGGGTGGGGCTCATTTTGCCATTCTGTGGTAAAGTGTACACAGTAATGAATCAAATGAAAAAAATATTACATTTAGTAATAAAAAATCAAACCATGAAGTCATTTCTATATATAGCCTGCTACATGTGTGTTAAAGGTGTTAAAGCCAAAACCAAATCATGCTAAATGATACACAGTGCAACTATGTAAAAGAAAAATAACAAGATTGACAGTTGACACTAAATCATACATCTAATTTAAAGAAGGACACTCAATGATTCAAACTGGTGAGAAGAGAACAAAATAACAAAAATACAGTGAAACATTGGCTTAGTTTCAAAGAAAGATTTCAGTAAGACAAAATATCAAAAAGACACACACTGGTGAGACAAAAACAGTCACAAGAAGATATATACATGAGATACATAGTTCTTATACATGGTTCTTTAACTGAAATGGCATCATTTGGTGGGCTCATATGGTGAAATGTTCTGATGATTCCTTCATTCACAAGTTACCAACAATTTAGTACATAGGAAGGTATACTTTTAGGAAAGTGGGTCATTGGTAATACCATGGACAAGTACACTCCCCTCCATAAGTTTGGCAACCTTAGCTCCCCAACTTATGGAGGGGAGTGTATATCCCATAAAGATAAGAAATCACTGCAAAATGTAACAAATGGTAACCAATGTTAACTGATGGGTGTGAAATCATAAATTACAATGACACACACTGGTAAGACAAAAATAAAATCACAATTATATATATCACTGGCTGGTGAGGTCATAAAAACAAATAACAAGGCATTAACGAGCAAAATGTCATCACCTGCCATTTGTTGCAGATGCTGAACACTGACTGCTGAACGCTGAACACCAACAACCAAACACTATCCACAAAAAAGTTGGAGACTATACCAATATGTCAACACTTTTGGTGGTGACATAATAAAATCACATGGAAACATTCCGACAAGAATGATTTCCTGACAAGAATGATGATAAAATGTAACCGTCTTCAAAAACATTTCCACCAAGTATTCCCAAAAGTATCTCAAATACAACAGGAATGCTCAGTTTTCATTATATTTAAGGAAGAGAAACCCACATTCTCAAGTAGTGAATGTACCAGTATGACCCATAATGGGAGACATGCAGTCTAGTGTTAAAAGTACGCTATGACCCAGATGGAGCCATGCAGTCTATCAGGACCCTCCACTAGAGGGGGTTCAACAAGCGCAGCCATTAATGAATGGTGCCAAGCAGTCTGGTTTACTGCCTTCTCCAGCTGCCACTCATTCTTTACACATTTGTTTGTATTCCATAAAATTTATCGACTAAGCCTGGCAGTGTCAATAAACCTTAGCAGAGTTGCCTTCACTCCAAATGATAATCGACTTTCCAGGCTTTTCTCAAAGTACTTCATCCCAAGTCTGGCTATTTTCTGCTAAGTTAACCCATGAATCACTGATAATTCAGCAGGTTACCTCATGCGCCTCTTCAGAGATTGGAGGGTTAATGTGAAGGTTGGTGAAAGCCCCATTTGTACAATCAATATTTATTGAGGTCTAACACATGCTGTTTTGTGCTCATCAACACTTTGATTCTGCTGTCAAGCCACTCCAAAGAACATGGGAAATTCCAGAGAATTCCCTCATTAAACAGGCATGCCTTTGTAGTGCCTGAGTCTGGATTTCCCATCATCCTCAACTGGGCCAGGAAGCTGGAACAAGTCCCGCTAACTGCTTCTGTTCTGGGCCATCAGTGTTGTGCCAAACATCCCTCGAGTCCATCAAGCAGAACACCCCTCTCCAGGTTCTTGCCTGGAAACACAAACAGAACAGGATCTTGATATACATATGGGTGTATTACACAATTGTGTCACAAATGTCATAGAGACATTGTGCTCCTTATTTATCTTCAAGCATTAGTTTATGTAAATCCATGATTTCAGAAACAGATGGGGGAAATGATTACATTTCTCTCTGATCTTCAGATCTACAAAATATGACCAAAAATAGTTCTTAAAGCAAAAAGAACATCATTACAAAGTACATAATAAACTAGAAATTACTGAAAAACATCAAATATTGTTTATTACCTAAAAACCTACAAAAATAAAATTAGGCAAGATCATCAATGTGGCATTGGTCCAAAACTCCAAATCATATGCACTTAGTATGGCATTAAATCAATGAAAGTGATTTCAATATTTTTACATGTTCATTTATGCACTTCCAATGTCAGTCCAACATGGAAGGAGGGATAGAGACACTTTTTGATCAATTGGACAAACAGCACCTTTACACCCTATTTGTAAACAGTTATTGGTGATAGAAACAAAAACAAAAGCAGTGAAAGTGACAAGCACTTGGGCTATTGGATATCTGATATGGGTGGAAACAATACATCTTACAATAATAACCGGAACAGTTACCGTTAACTTAATGACGCTGTTGCTGTGAGCCAAACTGAAGTGATATTGAGAAGCTATCGATGTGCCTATAGAAAACATCAACTTACTAAAATACACTATTGTTTGAATTTTCAATGAACAAATGGAAATATTTTCTTTATTCTTTGCCAGTTCGATTTTGTATCAGAGGCTCACCCCACGAAGAAAATCAATCAACTATTCAAAAACTGTGAAAAAGTCTTGAGAAATACATTTTAAGTATATCGATAAACATGAATTAGGAATTTGCATTGTTTGGAGTTGCATTAGCGAAGATTGAAAAGCGTAAAATTTATGCAATAAAGAGTCTTTCATTTCATTTATATTTAATGATATTGTTTTTTTGAACAGTTTCCCCACAGGCTCTTTGCAAATCTTTTATTATCAGGACTTGAAATGCTACGATATTTGCTTTTGTCATTTGATTTTAATTAAAACTCACCTATTGTTAAAATGAATAACGAAAATATGTTTGTTAAAGAGACGGCGCAGAAACAACATAAAGCATGGGAAGCACTTGCAATCAATACATAGGGCACTTCCAGGTTAACCTAAAGTCCACCAAGAAATCACAATAAAGAAAAATAAAAACATTTAACAACAATAACAGGTTGATCTTGTCAGATGCCTCCTTAAAAGCATGAAGAGATAACCTTCAGATCATCTTCCCAAATGTTTCTGATATCTCAGATAATATTGTTATCCTATCCAAACTTATCCCCAAAGCCCCTATTAATGCCACAGCCAATGTGGGAAATTTTCATAAACAGTCATCAATCTACCATTAGACAAGGAACCAAACTATTGTTTTAGTGAAAGTAGCTTCAACTCAGATTGGACCACTTATAAGAGGTACATTGACAATGATATGAATGAAAACCATGTGTTGTGTTTTACAAAATGTATTTAATGGTTCTAAAAAGTTGATGTTGTGTTGCTTAAACTTTATCAAAGGATGATTAAAAATCATCTTAAGAATTTGATAATAAGTATTACAACTGTAGTATAAAGGTGTAAAAATAAAAATAAAACCATAATTATTTTCCTCCTAAAATAATCGCATGACAGAAAACTGAAATAATTCCATGTGAATTCTCAGAGTCTTTAACCTTACTTCTTGAACACCTTGTAATTAAAATATTTTACTAGACCTTTTAGAAATTCTAAATTTAATACATATAAAATCATACATTAAACCCCCACTCTATTCCTACACTTAAAATAAATGCATGATAGAAAACTATTCAAAACTCCATTAATCATTAGTAAACTTGTCCATATTGGAATCTGCCAAGTGGTAATCAAGTTTAATCCCTATGGCAGGGGTTAATCCTGCATCTAGGGATAACTGTCAGTGGAGAGGGCGTGGTTGGGTTAATCCGATACATGCCCCTCAATGAACCTCTTTCACAATTACAGCATCATCACAAGGGGACGTCTCAAGTTCAGCAAAAGAATCTTGCAGTCTTGATAAAATGAAAAATGGGGGCTGTCCATACAATGGAACACATCAAAGACATTTTAAACTTGATGAATATAATTTTTTCATGAAAACAAAAATAGATACTGCTCACATACCAGGGTCCATCCCTGGAGACCATCTCAACTTGAAGAATAAAAAATGCTTCAAAAGATAATGAAATTGAAACAATTTTTAAAAATTACCTTTATTGCAAATATTACCTCATTCAACACCTTACGGTTGGCATCATTACTGGATCAGACTCACTACTGCATACAGTTGGCTTTATAATAGTTTTGCTATGTGATATCATTTAGGCCTATTGGTTTTTTATGAACAAGCATTTATGATATTTAATTGTTGCCCTTTGTACTTTTTGATCAATAAACAGACAGTTATTAAGAATGTGCACATTTCATTGACTTTTCAAGAATTCTTTTGAGATCTACAACATTTTTGAAAAACTTTGTTCAATGTCAAATAAATCAATGTGAAATAAATTGAATAAACCAACTTCTAATATCTTTAATTAACGAAGCTGGGGTTTAAGATTTAAATCCATGTTTGTGGCAGTTGCTAAGATTGAGATGTTAAAAGTAATAAGGGAGACTAAAGCAAAAGACAAAAGGTTCAGAGGGTCATTTAACCTGACAATTCCCCCATGGCCACTCCAAGTCAGTCTCATTCATGATTGTCTCACAAATTGGGAGTATTTCATCAAGTAATAACTTAAGCAGGCATAAAACACACACAAGTGGTCCACAATGAGATGCAGCCCAGAGAAAGCATGTAATTAGATCCCCAACAAATTGGTTAATTTGTCAAGAAGCTGGCTATTATCTCTGGGTCTCATCTCAACTAAACATTTATTGCTAGCATGTAGGTATCTTATTTGCTGGATTAGAACTGCCATCAACACCCTCCATGACTGATTAAGGACCCTCTAAACTAGATTTACAGCAAGAGAACTGAGATTAAATTCATTTGGCTTTTCATAGCATCATGTGTTTGGTGCTTCTATATATCAAAATGTTTTCAAATGCCGGGGAAGATGATGAGACGGCTACTAAAGCTTTCAGGTCACGTTGGTTAATCTCACTCTTAATGCATCCCAATTAGAGCCAAACAAGGATTATTTGTTCTTCGTTATGTCGTTCCTTAATTGACAAAGCTCAAGTTAATATCATTTATGCAGTCTATTTCTTTAGATGAAAATGTTATTGGAGGAATTTAACTACTTTACTCTGTATTACTGTGACTCCGTAGGGAACTTAGCTTCACGTTCAAAATATAAATTGCTTCAGCAAAAATGTTTCAATATGTTTTATCTAATTTCTCTTTTTAGTTAACCTTAACCTAAAACATGTATTTGATTTACTTATTAAAACCAGCCCGATTCCAACTTGCTTATTTTTTTCATTGTTCATGGATAACAAAACAGATGACTTGAACAAGAACCAACTGAAATAACACTGACACATATGTTTTTCGTCATATGCAACTTTTATTTTATAACTGTCAAATATTTCTTCTTATCATTTTTTTCATCTCCATTTTTTTCTACCATACAACAGCTGAAAGTTGCTACTTGATGGCAAAATGGAAAACCCCAAACTTAGATGAACTTATAATTATGCAAATTCGAATCATATGTTATAACATATCATCTGGTGAATACAGATCAACATAAATCCATTCATTATTTTTTATTTATAGAAGCGTGGCTTTGTAAAGATTCTTATTTTTGTTTGGTTATTCATCACTTGCTTTTTATTTATTTATTTAAATGTATACAGCTTAGTATTCAATCTTAATATATAGAGATATGTGAATAGAAACGCATTAGTGTGAATTATCCCCCTCTTAGCATTCATTCAAACCAATTCATGTCCCATATGGCAAATATGGTAGACTGATAGGGTACCAACTCACAAAACTCTCAAACCTTTCTTACTATTTACTTTCCCATTGTGCGAGGTGTCACCTTCGTGGAGCAATGGAAATCCATACAGATATAGAATAATCAGTCTATTGCAGAAATGCCTCGGGTCTTTTCCTAACTGGCTTTTTTAAGCAGGATAATTGTTTCTATTATAAAAACAAAATATCCAATATTTCTCCAGTTTCACTTAGTTTTGGGCTGTATTGGGTCTGGAATGCAGTCCAACTTAATTTCAATAATCTCCTGTAAGTAAAGGCCCAGTGGTGTTTTGGTAAACACTACGTTTCAAACAAATTATATTGTCTCTAAAGCAAATGTTTTGATTGCTCTGGGTAAGTTTTTTACAGTTTTATTGATCATGCCCTCTAACTATTTTTCTTGCCCCTGAAGTTTCAATACCACATACAATATCAAAAGAACACAACAGATATTTGAGAAAAAAAACAAATCATAAACTTATTGATACAAGTAATCGTTCTTAAAACTGACACTATTGTGCGGTCTGTATTTTGGAACAGAATGTGTGAAAGCACTTTTAAGCAATATAATGACGGGAGCAAAATGACCATTTAAATCTATTACAAAAAGCATTCTTTTGATAAAAACCCTATTAAATGGGACCCTATAAACCATGTGGTGTACACAAACTGAATCGACCTAACTCTTTTGTATTGTCATTAATAAAGAACGGATGTTATATAGCTAAAAATATCGTAATAAATGAACAGTTCAATTTTTTGTAGAAAAAGGTCAGAATGAAACAGCATAATCAAAAGGAGTTCATTCACATTCCTATCAAAGCAGGTGGCAAATCTTTTTAGTAGTTTCTAAATTGTTCCCATAAAAATTAATATTAACTGTACTTTTATCCGTATAATACTAGATCAAAGCGAATTAGAGCCAAAATATAGGCTTAGTTCCTGCTCAAGTGCAGGGCACCCCTCTTGGAAAATTTACTTAACTT